AGTCCGCTGCCATGCGGTCATTGCGGAGTCGAGAAGGAAAGGGGAGAGTTGGGGATGCTTTTTCCTTCTCTTGCCCGGTTGAGGGGTCAGAATGACATTATCTTTTTCCTTTTCACTTGTGGCCTCCTGCTGTGCGGGGAAGTTACCGGCCACTTGTTTCTCTTCTATTGAGATAGGCTTCTTCTTTGGGGGTAACTCCTTGGCCTCTTTTTTGCTTCGAAGAGTAACCACCCCTACCTCTACTTCGTTGGCTTGCTTCCAAGAACGAGCGAATTGTGACCCATGGTGAGGGCATTGAAGAAATTAATCGGAGAATCTCTCCCAAGCATCCCTCAAGGTCTCGTCTTCTTCTTGCTCGAAATGGGTGATCTTCTTCCTCCACTCGACCGTCTTCAAAGGCGCGCAGTAGCGATTCATGAATTTGTTGAGAAGATTGTCCCATGAGGTGATTGAACGAGGAGGGCGGTTGTTTAGACACCAGATTGCTTTTCCCCACTAGTGAGTAGAGGAAAAGCCTCAATTGCAAAGCTTCAGCCGACATGCCATTGATTTTCAAGCTTCCCGCGAGCTCCAAGAATCTCTGCACATGCTCTCTTGGGACTCGCTCGGAAGACCGTGGAACAAAGCATTGTTCTGTATCATGGTCACTAAAGCCGACTTTATCTCGAAATTGTTGGCCGCCACAGGAGGGTGGAAGATTGGCAATTGAAAGTCATTCGGCCGTGGGGCCATATAATATCCCATTGTCCTCGGGATTTCCTCTTCTGCCGCCGCATCGTTTAGGTTACGAGCTTGGGCGGCTCCTGCTTCTCTTTGATTACCCGCTATTTCTACTCCAATGTCGGGTTCACCTTCCACTTCTTCAACTTCTACTCCACTAACACCGAGACAAAATTGTTGTCCCCTTTCTTCATTTCTCCTCCTTGCCTCCGCTAGCTCCCTCTCCGTGCTAGGAGTCGCAAAGTTCAGTTTATGTCCTCGTCACGTGGTAGCAAAGGTGTCGGATTGCTCCGGGTCATGCACCTCCCTACACACAGTTTGAAAATAGTACCAAGTCTAGCAAAAGCGAAGCGCACACACTTTCAAAACTGGAAATTAAAAGCTAGATTAACACCAAATAACTTTTTCACGATAACGGATTGTTGTTCCCCGGCAACGGCGCGAAAAACTTGACTCATCCATAATATCACAATTAATTCCCGCCTAAGGTCGAAGTATAAACCTTAGTAGGGTGCAATACAAGGCAAGTATGTTTAAATATCGAGATAGGACGGTCCGTGTAACCCTACTTCAATTGTTTGAAACATTATCTAGAGAATCGGTTTTGGTTGAAAAGATTGCCAATTAAAGTAAAGCAAGGTAAAAGTAAATGGTTTTGAAAGCTCTATGCGAGAAGTATCACTCGGGTGTCACTTCCCCCTAAATACTAACATGACACGAGGAATGGAATTAATTGTGACGGGCAAGGTGACCACGAACCGCTAGGAAACGCAACTATGGTCGTAGACCACACTCTCGTTTTCCTAACGAAGGGATACATTATAGGCTACTCAAGTAGCCCTCTTGCTTAAGGAAATCGATGGTTGACTTACTCTCTCACTCAACCCAATGGTTGGTCGGCTTAATCGAGCTTAACCAAATGGATTAATTGAACATAGAGGTTTGCCCTACATTAACCTAGATAGGTGGGTTAAAAAGCCTAAGGAATCCCAACGAGCCTCCCTTGAAAGGGGGTTTTCCTTCTCGTCTAGGTTAGAATGACCAATTGTATTGCTAAGCCCAAACATGCACAATCAACATGAAAAATACCTCACCCATAAACGATCATTCAATTCACCCAACAACTACATGACAAATAGTTAGGGTTTCACAACACCCAAGTGAAAAAGAGTACTACTCCATGCTAGGAAGGGGAAGGACACAAGAGGAAGAGGTAGAAACCATCATGGTGATGCCTCCAATCTCCTTTGAGCTTGTGTTGATCTTCTCTTGGGGAGAATCTTCCCAATCCACCATTTAGAGCAAACCCTGGCCTTTTTTCTTCCTTGGTTCGTCCTTTCTCTCTCTAACATCTGAAGAAGAAGACACTTTCTCACACTTGGCCTCCTCCTTTCTCTTACTTTCAGCTCACATTATATACCAGGATCAGGCTCAGTTCACGGCTGTGAACTCTTCAACGTGTCCGTGAAACCAGAGCGCGATGTCGAAACGCACCGCTTCGCCATCAGGAGTTCACGGTTTGGCCTCAATCTTCACGGTCTTGTACCGTAAACTCGCCAGGGGGTGTTTTTGTTCAGAATGCGCAGCTAACGATTCAATCGAAGGATCGATTGAACTCGAATCAAGAACGAAGCGTTCTTAATACGAACTTATATAAAACGGAACCCCTAGGAAACGCTCGATTGGATTAAAGGGTAGTTGCTCGACCACGATTGAAGGGACTATTCAATCGATACAAAGCTCAACAAGTTTGGAATTCATCAAAAGTTCGCAAACTTGAACAAACCAAACGGTCTTTTCAATTAATCAAAGTCTGACGATTACAATTTACAAGACGAGTTTAAATAGGCCTAGATAGGGTTGCACACGTCCTCATTTATCCTAACTACAATCTAATACGAAAAGGAATCATAAACTACCTAAAACAATTCACAATCTAACAAGCTAAGTCGTCTTCTTCTTCCTCTACTACTCTTTTCAGTAGCAACTTTAGTATTCCGTTGCTGAGAACCATGTTTCCCGTTGGAACTGCATCTTGGGGACTTGATCAATTCTCCATTACTGGTGCTGAAACCATGGACCAGGAAACCGGATCGTACCGGCCGGTTCAACCGGTTTAACCGGGAATTGGACAAAAAATGAAACGGTAGGCTGTTATGAGCCTTTTTACCGTGTCGGCCGGTTTTTTCGGGTGAACCGGCACAAAGCGAGAAACCGCCCGATTTTGTTCTAACTGGCGGTAGCCTATATTCAATAAAAAACGTTGTCGTTTTATATAGAAAAAAAAAGACAATCAAATGAGTGAATGGCAGTCGAGGTTTTCTGAACCTCTCCCAACCCCAGGCGCTCCTGTTCTCTTCTCCAGCCTTGCCCAGCCCCGCCGCTCCTCTTCTCTTCTCCTGTGGCTAGTGGGAACTAACGACCCGCGATCGAAGAGATCAACGCCAATCTCCCGCGATCGTTTTGCCGCGCTCAAAGCCAATCTCTCCGCCGCTCCTCTTCTCTTCTCCTCTGGCGAGTGGAGAGTGACGACAAGCGACCCACGAGGCTACGATTGGACGGATCAGCGAGGCAACCGGCAAAGAGACGAGAGTTTCTGATTAGGGAGTGCCATTGTTTTGGCTTTGAGCGCGGGGGTGGCGGTGAGATTTGGTTTGCGATGAAGTTTGATGAGGAGGGATGTGGGTGAGAGAGAGGCAGAATGAAAGATGGGGGAAGGGATGTGGGTGAGAGAGAGAGGCAAAATGGAAGGTGGGGGAAGGGAGAAGGTGCACGCCTGCACGGGGAGGATACCGAGGAAGTTAATAAATGATGGTATTTTTTTTATAAAAAGTAAATATTGTTTAATTTTTTTTATATTAATTTAGTTGTATTTATTGTCCGGTATATTCCGATACATCCGGTACTACTCCGAGACGGTACCCTAATTTTGCCGACACGGTTTTTTGACAAAAAATATATTTTATTATTACAAAAACGGTATTTACCGGTACGAAATGGTTGAACCACGGTTGTACCACAAAATACCCTACCAGAAAGGAATTCGATATGATATCCGGTACGGTTTCCTTTACCATGGCTGAAACACGCCTCTATTTTTTTTTTTATAAGTTTGGAACTCTAGTTTTATATTAATAATAACATGAAGGTCTCTATTAAAATTTTTTTTTTGCTGATTAACCCGTCATTGCCCGGAACCAACTGCAGCGTTGCTGATATGATATGCTGCTGAACTCTATTTTTATTATAAAAAAACGTTGGTATGAGAATGAGAGACAATGGACGTTAGGTCGGTCGACACAAGCGAGGCTGCTATCTTCCCCTTGAGACTGCTTACTTCTCCCTCAAAATCGCACCCACCCATATTGCCCAATGTTTCTATTCTCTGACCGCAGGTCCAAACTCCAAATACAGTCGATTTTGATCTTTCGGATACTTAGAACTAGGGAAGGCAATTTTGCCTATACCCATAGGTATTTTACTATCCAACCTAATTGGGTTGGGTAGTAAATCCAAATATATGGATATGAGTAAAGTTTGATGGATTTGTACCCATACCCATTTACTTTGGGTTAGGTTGGGTTTATAACAAATAGATTTGGGACCCATGCCCAAATATAAATTACAGTTTGGTACCTAAACTTAATAAATATGCATATTTGGTACCTAAATTTAACTTTTTTTGCATATAAGTCCTCAAAATATCGATGGAAAATTACGTTTTGGTACCTAAATTTTTTTGGTCTTATATTTTGGTACCTAAAATTTTCAAGTTTTACAAATAAATCCAATTTTTGCATGTGTAGTTAAAATACCCTCAATTAATGGATATCCATATCCAACCCATACCCATTTAGATAATATCCATATCTAACCCAAACCCATATACAAACCCCAAACCCATACACACATCACCCAAACCCTACTCATAATAAATGGGTCTACTTGGATTTGGGCAAAATTAGTCTACTTGGATTTGGGCAAAATTAGTCTACTTTGATTTGGGCAAAATTACCCATGAATGGATAAATTGCCATCACTACTTAGAACCTTTAATTAGTTCGATGTAGAAACCCGATTGTTGTGTTCAACCATAATAACTAAAAAACCGAGCTCCCAATTATTGATCCTTAGACAATTTGTTTTTCTGTCATTTGAAGAGGTTCTAGTAGTACAATCACATTTTTACATTCCACTATGAACCATCAGCAGAGGCTACAGATATTACCAAAAACCTCTTTCTATCTCTATGAATAAACCTACAATTCCGGGTATCGATCTCAACTAGGACCCCAACAATTCAAGTACATAACTTTCTTTAGAGAGTCTTCTGCCTGTTGAGCCTCCTTCAATTTATTGGAGACCAATGCGGCAGAGGAAGGCGCAAGGCTCTTCGCCTGAGAGAAGGATCTAACGTTGGTTTTGGCGTGATGATGAACAGATCTGAGGATGTAATTCCACCTACAGAATCCGATTTGATCTTTGAGTGCCTCCACGGCTCCTATGCTGGCGGCTACCATCCAAGCTTTGCTTGTCGAACTCATAGCCATAGATAGCTCCAATGTAAACTTTTGAGCAGCTTTCTGGAAACTCAAGCGAGGGAGGGAGTGAATGAATGAAGGTGAGGAAGTGACTATTTAGGGAGCGAAAATGTGATTGTTATGTGTTGAAGATCTGAATGTAAAGTCTTAGTCATATATAGTGGGAGGACACCAAGAACTTGAGGCTTGGTAGTGTTGCTGGTTTTCAGTGGGTAGTAGCCCCCTGTTTTCTCTGCCCTTTTAATTAGGTGATGATATAATAGAAGAAGTAACTACGTGGTGATGATAAATCTGACAGCCCGCTGCTTGTGTGACATCTGTGTGAACGTGGCAGATTTGGGTGGGATTCAGCACTTGGTTTTGTAAAAGGGCTGGGAAATGGGAAAAAATCCAAAACTACCACTGTTTTAAAAAAATTTTACAAAAATACCACCCTCACCAAAGAATTTCCAAAAATACCACCCTTAATTTAAAACCGCGCCTCTAAATGGCGGTTTATAGATAAACCGCGCTCCCAGGCGGCGGTTACAATGTAAAACGCGCTCCCACGGCGCGGTTTGACCGTGCATGGCTGTCAAACCGCGTTGCCACGTGGCGGTGCATCAAACCGCTTGCCCGGGGAGCGATCTAACGGCTAAAACGGCTGCCAACCAAGCGATCCGCGTCCCCCACAGAAACCGCTCCCCCGAGGCGCGGTTTGACCGTTTGGAAAACGCAAACCGTGTCCCCGAGGCGCGGTTTGACCATCGGGAAAAGCAAACCGCGTGGTGGAGGCGCGGTTTTTAGTGGCGAGAAATTACAAAACCGACCCTCCCCCACGCGGTTTGCTGGCTATAAACCCCCCCCCCCCCCCCCCCACTTCTCATTTCTGCACACCATCCACCACATCCCCTCTCTCCCTCTAACTTCTCTCCACCCAACCCCTCCCCACCCAACCTTAGAATTAGTTTTTTTGTTGGTTGCGGCCTAAGTCCGATCTGCCTCCAAAAAACTTTTCTTTGGTTTTCACTAAAAAACCGTCGAACCTCTGTCCGGATTCCGAGAGAATGGCCGATTTCGCTCAAGAAGAGGGTCTTTTTTATGATGATTATCAAACGGTACGTATTCATTTTTCCCAATTGTTGTTGTTGTTATAATGATTTATTTAATTTATATACTAATGATTTATGTTATTGTTATGCTATCCTAGGTTGGGCCGGATGTTGATATTTTCAATCAACGATATTACGTTGATCAAGGACCGATTGATCCGACAGTTTTATACGATCAAGCAAATCATCGTTCAAGAGACGTTTGGAACGACCATAAGGTACATATTATTTATCATCACTTGTAATTTGTATTTTGTTAAAGTAATTTATTTGTTGTACAATAATTTACATAATTGTTAATCGTATTGATTATTTTCAATAGTTTAAATCAATACAATACAACACTTATTGAGACTCTTTATAAAGAAATGCATGTCTAAGGAAATGGGGACTTAAGCGATCATCATGATCCCCCCATGACCTGGGAAAATCGGGTTCTAAGCGATCCTCGGATCCCCCCTTTTTCTGTCAAAAAGACTGTGTTTCTAAGGAGATGTATACCTCTCCTAAGAGTCTTACGAGTGTACTTGTATTGTTTTAAATTATTGAAAATAATCAATACGATTAACAAAATAATATATTTGGATATTATTTTAGTTATGTTAATATTAATGTTTATTAGATAATGTATATTTCTATAAAATCGCTTAATTTACTATTGCATCTTAAAAAATTGGTTTAGTTATGTTAATATTAATGTTAATTAGATAATGTATATTTCTATAAAATCGCTTGATTTAATTAATATTGCATCTTATTAAATTATTTTAGTTATGTTAAAATTAATGTTTATTAGATAATGTATATTTCTCTAAAACAACCTTGATTTATATATAAATTGTATCTTATAATATATTTATATATGTATAAATCATCAACTTATAGTGAAATTTAATTTTTTCTCTAGGATGCATACCATATAGTCCGCTATAGGGGCACAACGAATGTGCTTGAATGGAACGACGTTATCTTGCCCTTTCTAAAAAGGGCAAGATTGGATTCGATTAGGCATTTCAACGGAATTAAGATCGACCGCCAACTCATCACGGCGATGGTAGAGAGATGGCGAAAGGAGACACACTGCTTCAATTTTCGTGAAGGCGAGTGCACGATCACACTTAAGGACATCGCCATCCTAACCGATCTCCCCATCGATGGTGATGTTGTTTGTGTGGACTCTACGCCACCACCTAAAGTTGTGGCCAATATGAGTGGTTGGCAACATTTTATATGGACGGTCACCGGGTTGTGTCCGCCAGAAAAGGGAGATCACGATGCGGATGGTCATCCACCATTGTCCAAGGGGCAAGTATCCATCACGTGGTTGACGGCGGAGATCAGGCGTAAGCACAACCCTGAGTTCGGAGGCGTTCCCCTCACGGAGGAAAGTTCGGAGCGCGATAAAGAAATTTATGCACGTATCTACATCCTCGGCATGATCGGAGGAGTTTTCTTCCCCAAGAAATCCAACAACCTAATCAGCAATTCATGGTTGAAGATCATACTTGGTAGTTGGGATGATATGGGAAACTTGAGCTGGGCATCTGCTTGCTTAGCCCAGCTCTACCGATCCCTATGTAATGCTAGTGCGAGAGCGGTGAAGGAGATTGATGGGGCAATGTTCATCGTCCAATTTTGGGCTTGGGAGCATTTGCAATGGATTGCGCCGAAGGTAGACCCCGACAAGGATTGGGGACCCGATCATCCCCTACGACACGAAGCTTATGGTTGTAGGTAAATATCTTCTATCCCGCTCATAGTTCTCACATTTTTTTTACTAATTTAGTTTGTTGTAACGAGCTATTTTTTTAAGGTACTAACATTGTGTACTTGTCCATATTAATAGGTGGCTTGATGAAACAACATGCGACAATCTTGGATCGCATAAGCTGGAGGAGTATCGTAGGAGGCTTGATCACCTATGGGAAGCAGAGGTGAGCATCATAATACGCTATTAAAACCCTACTTTTTTTAACTTATATTATTATGTTGCTTAATGGTTTTATTATTTAAACCTTCGTAGCTTAAGTTCGATCCGTATCCAGAACGGATTGTTGCGCATCACGTCCATAAGTTCCCGTTACATCCCGGTCAATGGTGCACCCGAGTTCCACTAATCTGCCACCACATAGTGGAGTGGCACTTGCCGGATCGATGTCTACGACAATTTGGACGTGAGCAATGCATACCATTGGATGTCCCGGAGAGTCAGAAGGGGTACCACGGGAAAGATGGTCGACAAGGACCTACTAATTGGCCAGAGGAGTATAAGAAATTGATCCGGCTGTGGAATGCTAGGCAAGATCAGGATATTGTGACGGCATCTCATGTGGGGCGGATGGGCTACCATGACCCATACATGGAAACCTACCGAAGACAATCTGTTCGTTACATGACCCCCGAAGGAGCGGCGGACGGAGCTTTGGTAAGAAATTAAGTTTTTATTTGTTTAGTCATGCGGTGAATTACTTTTTACCTTGTCTAACTTTGTTATTTTGTTCGATTTAGGTTGATGGCATCGAGCGAATCCACGACCTCGCACGGACCGCAGAACATTCGGCCGCGGGTCGAGAGGTGGGGGTGATTCGAAGGATAGCGAACAATCTCCTTGGCTGTATGCGAGCGCGCGGACGTGACCATAGGCGATACCCTCCAGTCCCCCCAGTGAGACCGCCGTCGGTGACGCTTGATGTTGACCCGGTGCCTCTGCCGGTCCAAAGAAGGCAAAACAAAGCTGTGAGGGATCGACCTCACGTGCCGGAGATCAAACCGATTGAGGCTTGGAAGGCGCCTACTCCTTTGGAGGTGTGCACCGGTGAGGGGGGGAGTACTCAGCACGGCCCTACGCCCGGAAGCCAGTATGATCCGCGGTCAAGTTTCCAGTACACTTTCAGGCCCAGTTTCCAGTATGAACAACGTCCAACTACATTTCATGACGGCACATCTTCAGCTACTTGGGCCGAGGGTTCATACTCCACTCCACACCAAGACTTCTCACCTTTGCATCGACCACAACAACAATGGCAACAACAACAATGGCAACAACAATGGCAATCCACTCCACAACAAGACTTCACACCTTGGATTCGACCACAACAGCAATGGCAACAACAATGGCAATCCTCTCCCCACCGTATGAGCATGGATAGCCCTCGGCCGCAGACGGAGGAGCCACCTATCACGGAACCGAGGCGGCATAGCACGGAGGATCGCGGTTCTATGGCGAATAGGATTCTGCCACCCGTTCCACCATCTTCGACACCCGGTGGACCAGTCGCCCATCGCACAAGGAAGCAGAGGGCAAACCGTCGAAACAATGCATGAGTGTTTTTATTTCAAGGATTGGTTTTGTTTAAATTAAGTGGAACAATGGTGTTTTTTTTTCAAGTTGTGATGTTTGTTTAAATTAGGTTGAACAATGATGTTTTTAGGTGTAGTTAAGGTACAAGTTAACTTAAGTTGAACAAAGTAGTGCTACTTGAAGTCGTGATGTGTTTTATTAAAAAAGATGGAACAATTGCACCAAAGTTTGTTAATTGTGCAAATCTACAATGTCATTTAAGCACACAACATGCAAGTAGAGTAACCATTGAAATTAATACACAAAGATGGAACACACGCATAAAATCAATCTAAGCGCCATTATCCGGGACATCCACATCGGGCCCAGCATTTTGAGGACCAATTGGTCCGGGACATTTTCGTTTATCATGACCGGGTACTTTACATATGGAACACCGCCTTGGCCCTCGCGGTGGTCTTCCACTTTGATCCATTTCATTTGGAATCCTTTTTCGCCGCGGGCGCCCTGTTTCCCGCCTAAGACCGATTGGTGGAATGATTACCATACCCTCATAAACTGGCCAGTAAGCTTCATCCGCCAATGCACGGAAACTAGTACGATAACTGCTCTTTTGTGAGTCAATGTTGAAGAACGGACTAACGAAATGACGAGGGTCTTTGCTCCTGTGCTTTATTGCAGCCATTGCATGAG